ATTTCCAAAGTGGCTGTACAAGTTTGCACTCCCACCAGAAATGGAGGAGTGTTTCCCTTTCTCCACATCCTCTTTTGATTTTAGCCATTCTGACATGTGTAAGATGGTATCTCAGAGTTATTTTGCTTTGCATTTCTCTAATGGCTAAGGATGTTGAACAATTTCTTAAGTGCCTTTCGACCATTTGAAATTCCTTTATTGAGAATTCTCTAATTAGATCTGTACCCCAGGTTTTGATTGGATTATTTGATATTTTGGTGACTAGCTTCTTCTGAACTCCTGGAATCCAGTTGTAGAGAGGGAAGAGTGATAAAGGGGTCAAGACCATGCTGGGAAAACCCACAAAAACAACTGACCTGAGCAAGTGGGAGCTCATGGACCCCAGTCTGACAGCTGGGAAACCAGCATAGAACCAAACCAGGCCCCATGAATGTGGATGTCAGTTGCGGGGCATGGGCAATCTATGGGGCCTCTGTCAGTGGAACCAGAATTTATCCCTAGTGCATAAATGGGCTTTGGGAGCCCATTCCCTATGGAGGGATACTCTCTCAGCCTAAATGCATGGGGGGAGGGCCTAGTCCTGCCCCAGATGATGTGATAGGCTTTGATGATTCCCCATGGGAGGCCTCACCCTTCCTGAGGAGTGGATAGGGAGGGGGTGTGATGAGGGGATGGGGGGGGGAGGATGGGAGTACAGGAGGGAGAGGGAACTGGGATTGGTATGTAAAATAAGATTGTTTTTAATGTAAACAAAAATTAATTTAAAAAAGAAGTCTATGTTAAGGACTTTAAAAAAATTGTGCTCACATTTATGCTACAGTGTATTTATAGTTTAGTCATTTGATAAATGTTGGAGATAGATATAGACTGTGTGTCTTATTTGCTACTGTTTGTCCAGTGCTTAGCTCAACATGTGGTTAGTAAGTATTTTGAATAAAGAAATGAATTGACATATATTAAGTATAGTGTTGCATTGATATCCTAAGGTCCAGTAATTCATAATGTAATGATACTCAATTTAACTGACAACTGCTCCAGTTCCCGCTCAATATATATATAAATCTGCAACTAATCAGGATCTTCCTCTTGGAAGTGACCACATCTGGAGTACTGAAGTAAGAGAGGCAGTGATCACATCTGGAGTACTGAAGTGGGAGAGGCAGTGGCTGCATCTGGAGAACCAAAGTAGCAGAGGCTGAAATATGGGAGGCAATGAAGAGTGGAGAAAAAAGGCAGCGGCTTGATGTTATGTGGATTGTTTCATAGATGAAAAAATGGCAGAACAGTGATAATTTAGAACAAATAAAAAATTACTAAGCTAAACAGCTAAGATTTACAGAAAGTTTTTTAAAAGTAGAAGAAAAATATAATTTAATGCAGGCACATGTTTGACTAATTTTCATTAGGGTAAGGAAAATGAAGGCTAGTTCTTCAGTTTAAATTTTTGTTTGTTTTGTAGATAATTATGACTCTCAGCTACCCTAAGTGATGGATTTAGTTTCCAGGTGATAGTGACCTACCGTTAGAAGCTGTAGGCTTGCTACCATTAGGTTGTCAGTTGTCAGATGTTATGTTATTAACTCTCTGCTTACCTTACTTTCCTCATACTGTGTTGTGTGGAGCAATGCAAGACTGTCTTCATTCCTAATATGGCCTTGTCTCTACTTTCTGGTTGCTAAGATATTTGTTAAGATACCAAATATCAATATTATAAAATACATGGAACATCTGTAGGAATGAAATAGTGCTGAGACATTTCACCAAAACCTATTTCATTAAGTTATAAACTAGTATTTTAGATAGTAGTTATTAGTTTCTGAGTGATTGGTTATACTGTTTATGGTTATGCTTATCATTAATAGTATTCCTATTTTACAAGATAATGAGCTAAAGGCCACAGAGAATAATTAAATAACCTGCCCTCAAGGCTAAATTATTTAACTTTATTACTAAAAGAGAACTGGATTTTGATTCTAAGTTCCTAACTACTGCTGTCTCTTTTTTTATAATTAAAAAATAAACATAATATACTTAATTTATAAAAAAATTTCAGAAGAAGAAAATATATAGAAGAATGCTATATTACATTCTCACTTATATTTTTCAAACAAGTATTAAAAACCCTGCTTGTTTTTAGTCTCATAGCTTAGTGAGTGTATATTTCCATGGTATTTACATTACATCTCAGTTGTGAGAAATTCAGATATTTATTTTCTTTTTCACCTCCTTCCCTCCCTCCCTTCTTCCCTCCTTCCCTCCCTCCCTCCCTCCCTCCTTCCCTTCCTCCCTCCCTTCTCTCCCCCCCCCAAGATATGGTTTCTCTGTGTAGCCCTACCTGGCTGTCCTGGAACTCTTTCTGTAAACGAGGCTGACCTCTAGCTCACAGACATCTGCCTGCCTCTGCCTTCTGATTAAAGGTGTGTGCCACCAACACCTGGCCAGATATTTCTAAGAAGAGTTTTTCTTGTTCTTTTTCAGATTGAGTCTAGGGCCTCACACATGCTAGGCAGCACACTCCACCCCTGAGCTACATTCCCAGCTCTAAGAGGCCACTTTTTCAATAACCTCACATAATCACATTTCTGATGACAGTTCTCTAGATAGAGAATGAAGGTTAATTCTAATGACTAAGGAAGTATACTATGATTTTTCCTGAAATACAAACACACTTGTCTTTATCAGACTAATTACTGGCACTGATTCTGAGTAGCCATTACTGACAAAACTACTGCATTCTTTTGTTTTGTCTTATGCATGCATTTACTTACTGAAAGAGCTATCAAACTCTGCTAGTCAGCATTTAATTGTACACCAGTTTACTTTTTCTCTGCAATCTTTCTCTTTTTTCTATCTTCTAGGTGTGAAAATGAGGTGCATTTTCACCTTTAAGGAATGGGGGAAGGCTTTGGGGAGGTGGCTCAGTGGGTACTTGCATACTTCCTGTGAGAATATGAGGATCTGAGTTCGAATTTCCAGCACCCAAGTGAAAAAGCTGGGCATAGCTCCATATACCTGTATTAGAGGGTAGAGACCTGTAGATCCTAGGAGTTTGCTGGCAGTAGCCTAGCTAGGATGGTGAGCTTCTGCTTTAGCGACAGACCCTGTTTCCTATCTGCAAGGTGTCAAGGTGCCCAGGACTATACACCTGCAGTGCTTGTGTATGTGCACACTTATATGTGCATACACATACAATAAAAGAATAAGTGACACATGCCTGTAACCCCAGTACTTGGAAGGTGGAGATAGAAGGATCAGGAGTCCAAGGTCATCAGCATCTGTATTCTCAATAACTTTCACAGAAACCTTGGGCTCGTAGTAATTCTCCTGCCTCTGACTGCTGAGTGCTGTGAATACAGACACTAGCCACCTTGTCTGGCTTTCAACTAAGTCTTTGAATCATATTATCCTATTAAAAATAAAAGGAATTATTTGTGCATCTACTCAACACTTTATTGAGTAAGCATGGCCATTGCTTACATTTATAGAGTACTTCACAGAAATAATTTTGTTTTAATCCAACAAAACACTAGACAATATATAGGAAATAATTGCATTCAATATGTCATTTTTGGTTTCTTTTTGGGGGGTGGGGTGGGGAGACAGGGTCTTATTATGTAGATTTTGCTGGTATATAACTCAGTATGCAGACCAGGTTGACCTCAAACTCAGAGATTCACCTGCTTTTGCCTCTTGAGTGCTAGGATCAAAAGTGAGCACCACCATACCTGGTGCCATTATGCTATTATTACATTCTTTTGTTCAGTGACTGATATATATATATCATGCAGTTTGTTGGACACTTATATAGTTCTTTATTATCCTCAACAAAGACACTTACTTTATAGAAGCTCAACTTATTGTTAATCCGGATCTGCCTATCATATCCTCAGCATGCTATGCTGCTGAGAAATGTTAGATGGCCTGGCCAAACTCAGAGGTATTAGCCAGAAGAACAAGGGCTTGTTCTTAGGAGTCCTAAGGTCATGAACTGTAACTCCAGTAAACACTAATTGAAAGCTTGTTATGTACTAGTTGCTGGGAACACAAAATCTCTGCCTTTTAGCTGAGGATACAGACATGTGAATGGATAAATTTAATGTGTCAGGTGCTTTAATGAAAATACATATGTGATAATTTGTGAAGTTAAACTTACCATTTAAAATGAGTAACGGCCTGCTTATTAAAATGTGTTTAGTATTTGAAATGCTAATAAACTTTATCTTATCTATCTCTTAGTACGAAGAACTGGAATACACCACTTATATTTGATCTCAAGGAAGGAACTGTTAGCTTAATTCTCCAGGCAGAAAGGTAATTTGTTTGTATTTTAACTATTGGATAGCTCATGCAGTAGTAAAACACTCTTTAAAACATCCTACAAGGGCTGGAGATGGTTCAGTGGTTAAGAGCACTGGCTGCTCTTGCAGGGACCTGGATTCAGTACCTAGCATCCACATGGTGGCTCACACCATCTGTAACTCCAGTTCCAGGGGATCTGGTGTCCTCTCATGGCCTCCATGGGAACTGCATGCATATCATATATTTACATACATGTAGGCAAAATATGCATATACCAATGATATATATATATATATATATATATATATATATATATATATAATTTTGAGACAAGGTATGTCTGTGTAACAACTCTGGCTGCCCCAGAACTGACTTTGTAGACCTGGCTGGACTCAAACTCACAGTGATGCCTCCTGAGTGCTGGAATTAAAGATGTGCACCACCATGCCTTGCAAAATACATCTTTTAAAATATCTCAAAAAATGATATAGTAGTCATTTGGGATCAGTCTGTTTCTACTATATGTTTTAGAATTAAAAACAAAGTAAATCAGTGGTAATGAAATGTTTTATTAGAATTTATTTACATTCTTAAAAGATATTGAAAGATATGAACATGCACTATATTAAATTTATTATAGAAATTTATTAGATAGTAATCTTAAATCTTATTAAAAGCTCAATACAAGGAACATTGGAGTATCAATAAGAGAGTATGACAATGAAATGGGAAAATTAGTTTGGTCCCCTGTTTTCTGTTCATTTGTTCTTTCTTTTTCACTTCTATTCAAATTTAGTTCATCCTAAGTTTGTATGAAAATGTTAAGAGTGTCCCAGGTGAGGCCTGAACTTCTAATCTCAGCATTGCCCACTGTCCTTCTTCCTGCCCTTTCCTTTATTGGTGCTGGAAACTGAACCCAGGGCTTTGCATGTGCTCAGGGCATGACTTGAGCCTGAGCTATACCCCGACTCTATCTTTGCTTTTAAATATTGGTTGAAACTTATTGATTTCATGAGCTACTACTAGGCTGTGGGCTGAAGTTTAGAAGTAGAATTTTTTGCCAAGTCCTTCAGTAAATATAAGACTAAGAAACCCTAGGTGATTCCCTTGAACAAATTAGGATGAGCTGTTGCTCCAGGAGCCACAATTTTAAAAAATAAAAACTGTCAATTAACTTATTAAGTACAATGATTCCCTACTGAATCAGAGCTCAAACTTAGAAAAGCTACTTCAATTGCTTCTCCACATTTTGGCCAAGGTCAAATGTAGAAAAGCTACACACTAAGACTTAATGAAATGTGGAAATTTAGTTGCTGTTTACCAATACAGACATATATAAAACCTCTACACCAAAACTACACACTTTATTCCTCTCTTCTCCTGTCACCTAGGCAGCATTAACACTGCTCATTAGCAGGTTTTCCAGCCCAGAGCTTTTTGTTAAGAACCCGGAGCAGGCTGGTGGTGCTGGCACTAGCAGCAAGCACAATCACAGGCAGGGAAGGGACTGATGAGAAAGTTGAAGGCACTGAGCAGTGACAGTCTTGTAATTCTTCCGAGTTCCAACAGATTCTCAGGAGGATCCAAACTGTCATTTAATTACAGAGGAACATGGTCATCATGAAGATAATCTTGAGTAATCAAGGAAATATAACTTCAAGCTTTGTCATCTGTTTAATGACATTGAAACATGCTTTAGTTATGTCATAATTTTTAAATACAAGCCATTTTGCCTTTAAAAGGTAAGATGCAAGCTATCTAAAGGCTCTATTTCTCAAATGTCTTTATCCCAACAGTTCCAAATAAATTTATATTATTTATAAGTTTATTGAGTATGTTCATAGTTTAAGTATGTGTTAATGGCATAAATAACTATATATGAGGTAACTTAGTAACTGCCTGCCTCTGATCTTATTTATATAGCCAGAGACATTTGCCCATTGAAAGAGTATTTCCTATGAGAAATTTAAAAGCTGATGTCCTATTTATGATAGGAAATGCTTGCAGTGCTAAGCATGGGGGCATTTATGTGTATATGTATGTAGTATGTGTATACACGTGTGCATACATGTATAAATACCTGTGTGTAGGCTAAAGATTGCCATTGAGTGTCTTCCTCTGTTGCTCTCTTATTTATTTGTGTGTGTATGTGGGTGTGTGTGGGTGCATTCATGTCCATGTGCACAATTGTGGGCATGAACGTCTAAGTTCATGCCTGGTACCTTCATTTAATGCTCTCTACTACATACTTTTTTATTATTTCTTTTATTTTTGAGATTATACTATAATTATATCATTTCCCCATTCCCTTTTCTCTCTCCAAACTCCTTCCATCTACTCCTTTATGCTATCTTTTAAATTTATGCTCTTTTTCATTAATTGTTGTTACATGGATATGTGTATGTATGTATATGGTGCTTGTCCCTCAAGCATTCATGAACAGGCACGTGCACACACACACACACACACACACACACACACACACACACACACACACACACACACACTCCTAAATACATCTTGTTGTCTGTATAATGTGGAAGATTTTCTAATTGCCTTTTCATGGGGGTTTCCTTCCCAGGAAAAGAAATGAGTTGAGGGCATAATGTAAATGAAATAAAAATTTTAGTAGATAGGCTTGTGATTTTGGACATATTTATTTTCTTCTCTTACCTCTACTTAAAAAACAAAACAAAAAATGAGAAAACAAATCAAAATGGTTCCTTTCAATTTTTTTAATATTTCAGACTTCATCTATATTCTTTTTATAATTGTAGGATTTAGATTTTTCCTCCCAAAGGACAAACTCTTCCTTAATACAAACATGAAAATATAGTATCTTCCTATTTAAAAAAACAAACAAACTTTGTTTCTCTTTTTAGACATTTTCTTCTTGTAGATGGTGGTGGTATCTACTTGCATTCTTATGAAGGGCGCTTCATTTCTTCTCCGAAGTTTCCTGGAATGAGGACAGATATTTTGAATGCACAGACTGTATCCCTGAGTAATGATACTATAGCAATAAAAGACAAAGCTGATGAAAAGAGTAAGTCTATCGTCATAGTGTTTCATGTCAAATTTTCATGAAGTTATAATGCTATGACCTTTTTTTTTTTTTTCTCGAGACAGGGTTTCTCTGTATTGTTTTGGAGCCTATCCTGGAACTCAATAGGTAGACCAGACTGGCCTCAAACTCACAGAGATCTGCCTGCCTCTGCCTCCCAAGTACTGGGATTAAAGGCATGCACCATCAATGCCTGGCATGCTATGACATTTTTATGGACTTTTATTCCCCCCCCTCTTTGTCTTTAAATGTGCATTGGTGTTTTGCCTGCATGTGTGTTTGTGTGAGGATATCAGATCTTGGAGTTAAAGATAGTTATTAGCTGCCGCGTGGGTGCTGGGAGTTGAACCCAGGTCTTCTGGAAGAGCAGTCAGTGCTCTTAACCACTGAGCCATCTCTCCAGCCCTCTTCATCTCTTAATATGTTAGCGTTATATAGAAAAATTATGAATTCCATGATTTGTTCTAACCATGAGTTAAATAAGAACTGAACTTGTCATACTAACAGAACAAATATATGTTGTCTCGGTATCTAAGACCAGTGGTAAATAAATCTTTATGTATTCATAAGAGAATTTTTTTCAAGATTATGGTCCTAAAACAAGTATTAAATTTTGTTTTTAACCTTGTTTAGTACTTCCTTTCTATTCATTTAGTAATATGGTAAATGTTCTTCATTGTGCCACTTTATTTATATGTTTTTCGACTAGAATGTTAAGTTAGTGAAGTAAAAGGAAGGTGTGAATAGTTTTAATTTTACATGTTAAAATCCAGGCCATATTAGTATGTATAAAAACAAATATGTCCAGTGTTTTACCATTGAGGTATCACTATTCCACAGATGAAATTGTCAAGCAGATATTATTGAGTGTAGTACTTTTATTGATATTGGCTGAGTACTTTTCTAGAGTTTAAGATACAGTGGTGATTAAGATAGACAATCCAATAAATAAAATCAAGTCAGTGAACAAATATACAATTAACTGTTGGCTAATGACACATGCTTGGAAGCAAGAATGGCAGTGCGGGCACTCACTACCTGTGGCAGAGCTAGCAAGTAGATAGATTCTAGGGTAGGGAAGATGGACATGTTAAAGGAACTACCAGAAGGCTGTGTCCTTGGGTCAGCATGAACCAGGCAGTAGGAGAGGACAGTGATAGCAAGACCCAGAGTCTCACCCATGCTAGGCACTCTACTGCTGAGTTACACCTCCAGGCCTGTTTACTGTGTTTATTTGTGATAACACTTAACGGGAAATCTCTCCTCTCAAATTGTTAGCTGGTTCACCTCAGGTGCAGTGTTGTACTGAAGAGCTTTAGACCTCACTCATCTTGCATCACTGAAACTTTATATCCATTTCTTTCCTCCTGCTTTTGGCAACCACTATCCTGCATTCTGCTTCTACAAGATTCATTATTTTAGGCACCTCACATTGGTAGAATTATGTAATACTTGTCCTTTGGTGATCACTGTATTTCACCTAGCCTATCTTCCAGATGTGCAGGGCTTTCTTTTCTGTCTTCATTCTTTTCTCAATGATCTCCCTCCCTCCCCCCTCCCTCCGTCTCTCCCTCCCTCCCCTCTGTCCTGGTGTGTGTCGCACATACCGAATTTTCTTTATCTACTGATCAGACTGATTCCATATTATGGTTGTTGTGAATAATGATGCAGTGGCTGTGAGAATGCTAATGTTTCCTTGAGATACTGAAACCAGTGCTTGCCACAAGTGAGATTAATTCCTAGCTCACTTGGAGTTCTATTTATACTTTTCTGAAACTCCTCCATGCTGTTTTCTATGCAGCAATACCATTTTGCATTACTACTAACAACAAGCAGTGTGTGAATATTTTAATTTCCAGTTTTCTCACATCTTCACCGACATTTTTCTCTTTTTGTTGTGGCTTTTATAATAGCCATTCTAACATATGAAGGTGATAAAATGATTTGGAATTTTGAAACGTACAATTTCTTTTCAGAACTGTTAGCCCAAGAAAATGTTTTGTCTTAAAACCAATGCTTGATCTAGAGAAATTATTTAATCTCGAAGTGTCTTCTACATTTCATCATGGGAGCTAATTCTTCTAACTAGCATTTAGGAAAATACGTAGTTGCTAACAGCCGTCGAAGAGAACATTATTTAAATAATTCTAAAATAGTCACCCGGTAGAAAGCAAATATTTTACAAACTGCATCTTATTTACACAAGTTAGCTTTCTCTACCTGAGATAATCAATTACAAGATAGAAAGGTTTATTTATGTTCACAGCATCAGAGACTGCATGGTCACTTGACCCTGTTGCTTTGGGCCTATGGCAAGTCAGAATATTACACTTGGTAGAGCAAAGTCGCTCACTTCATGGTGTCTGGAAGCCGAGAAAGAGTCCCTTGGTTCCCTCCAGAGGCATGCCCTTAACACCAGGCTTCCATCCTTAGACTCCAGCGCCTCTGGTTCTAGGCTGGCAACCAAACTTTTAATTGCTTTGGAGAGCTTTATGATCCAATCCAATCCCTAAGGGTGCTCACTTTTTTTTTTTTCTCTAAGTTAAGTCTAAAAATTAAACTGTTTACTAGAAACATGGAAGGCACAGTTCTGGAACCTTCTTTCAAGAGTTCAGGGAAATTCTCAGACTGAGAACTGGCTGAGCTCCCAAAGTATGTGTCTATAATAAATATAGGTTGTTATGACCTCCGCATAGTTCTGAGGCAAGCCAGTCGATACACTGAAGCTGTGAGCTGGATATTTTACAAGGCTGTAATTTGCAAAAACATTAACGATTTATGGAGCATCTCAATTATTGGCAATCCATTTCCTCCCAAACCTGGTATACTGCTATTTTGTTCAAATCCTGAATACTCAGAATTCATATACCCGCCCCCAAATTGAGGATCCTCATCATAAAATGGCCATCACTTCCCATATCTGTAGCTTGTTTTTCTGACTGAACTTTGAGGGTTTATTACATTGTTTGGCTGGTTAAATCATCAGCCACTCACTTAAACTAGTCTCTAAACCTTTTCTCATCCACAGAAGTCAGAGACCTAAAAGCTCCATCCTATTAATTGCTGCCTGTTTTTTCTGATTGTGAACCCTTATCTGGTAGTAAAGAAAAGCACCCACGAAGAATCTGTTGTTCTAACTAACATAGCAAAGAAACTTATTTTCTGGAAAGCTTAAGGGATTTTGAAGCTCCCAGCCAAGAATCTAGGGTAAATTATTTATTTTACCACAGGAGTGGATAGTAGAAACAACACAAGGTACATTGCCTGGCATTGTGATAGGTAGTTACTTAATGCATATTTTCTTCCATGAATATGATTATTACACAGATTATTATCAGAGATACCATAATATTACATTGCATCCATATTTAGACTTGCCATTGATAGACCTGTGGGCCATTAATCCTTAGTCATTACTAATGCTTTTAATTAGGCAATATGTCAGGAAAAATTTTAGTTCTATTTTCATAAAAAATGTGACCTCATTAATAATTAGAGATTTGGTGCTGCTTATTTTCTGAGCTGATAGAAGTTGTGTGATCCATAAAGTTAAATAATTTTTCCTAAGAATTATGATAGCGCCACTGAAATTTACCAATAATGGTTCTAATATAACACACTAATTTTCTACTATTTTTTTCAAGTAATCTTCCTCTTTGAAGCATCAACTGGAAAACCCTTAGGGGATGGGAAACTTCTTTCTCATAAGGTAATAAACATTTGCTGTGTCTGGAGTAAATGACCACTGTTTAGTTAATTCCATTTTAAAATTAGTAGCTATACTTTAGGGGAGAAAACACGCTAATTTAATATTTAAAAATGAGTGCATACCTGACTTATTTCCTCTAAAAATACCATAGCTTAAGCCTAAGCATAGGGAAAGCCTGAAAGAGGACACTCCCAGGGCACATTAAGTAAATAAATGATGCGATGGGTGTCTGTTGATCAGGCTTTTACTGCTTTTTGATAACATGTTCTAGTTTACTAAACTTTGTAGATAAAAATGCCTTTATTAACTTGTAGGAGTTTTCTTACTGACCTGTCCTTAGCCAGCATTTTCTTTAGGTTTTAAGACTGTAGTTCAGTGACTGTATTAGAGAGGGAAATTATTCTCTATAAAAGTACAAAGCACCCTGAATTGTGATGTGTGTATTGGTTTTGGTTTTTAGTCTTAAATAAAGGAGCACATTGCATTACAGTTATCCTTTTAAACAAGTGATATTTCAGAGCATAAGGGTGTTTATGACATTATTTAACAATTCTAATGAATTGTTTCTTTATTTCTTCCTTTAGTCATTATTTGTTTTATGTTTTTATAACATATAAATTCATGTAAAGCAGAAATGTAAAAAACATTAAAATAGAAAGGTTGAGTCAGGGGAAGAATAGAAGAAAGGATATGTGATAGATAGGGTTTTAGTGGGGGAGTGGTGGGGAGGACGGGAGGGAGAAGGGAACTGGGATTGTCATGTAAAACAATCTTGTTTCTAATTCAAATAAAAAATCTGAAAAAAAAACATTAAAATATGTTGTAAAAAAATCTCTCCCTACCAAACTAATTCTCAGTATTCTACCAGGTAAGTACCACAGTTACTAGTATCTTACATGGCCTTGCGGAGATTTTTAGAGCACAGACAAACAGCACTGTTGTGTCTTCTTTCCTCTGCTTACGAAACAATGTAGCACATAGGTGTGTACCTTTCTGTTTTTCACAAACACCATTTTTGGAGGTCCTTCCATGTCATTACATAATGTTCTTTCTCCCAACACCCATCATAGAACGTAGCATTGTTTGGCAGTATCATTGTATTTAATCTGCCCAGTTGATGGGTGTCTAAGTTTCCAATCTAGCTGGGTGTGGGCCTTCACATCTGTCATCCCAGAGTTGAAGGCTGGCTTGGGCTAGTGAGACCTCCACAGACAGGTGAGAAAAGTTTCTGGTATTTTGCCACCACAGTGTTGCCTTGCATATACTCTGACATTAATTAACACTGACATTAATTCGTCAAATGTTGTGTCAAAGGATTTGATCACTTGTGATTTTTAAGAAGTGCTATCTTCCAAAGAGGCAGTGTCAGTTTGCCTTGCCCCTAGAAGTGAATGTGATGCCTGTTTACCATCATTTTAAATCATGACTATATTTTCCTTCTCAGTAGAATTAAGTACATAAAAAGAAGTAAGTTTCTCAGCTATTGTTGACACCTCAAGGGAGACCTTACCTGCTCTGAGGAGTGGATGGGGGTGGGGTATATGTAAAAAAATGAAAAAGACAAAAATTTCTCAGCTGTCAAAATAATTTTTTGTAAGAAAGGTTAAAATGAGAATTATTTAATAACATTTGATAAGCATTTGTTTTAGTGTGGTTCAGCTTTTCACTAGAGCACATATCCTAAGAGTAAGAATTTACAATTTCCTAGTTAAGAGTGTGAAGGTAATTTCTTCTATATCTCATAACGTACTCAATGCATGTGGATATAACACAAGAAATGTTAAGTTTCACATGGTGCATGACTGTCTTCCCACATAAGAGGCTGCTGCAGGAAGACTGCCATAAGTTTGAGGCCAGCCTGGGCTGGCTGCATAACTAATATTGGTCCAGCAATTTGAATAAAGGTATATGTTTTGTTTTATTTTAAAAAGTGTTATGTATATAAACCTAGATACAATGATTGATGGTATAATTACGATGCTTGTTGAATCCAGAATTCCTAGCAAAGTCCTCAGACACAGTAGACAATATACAGATCACTTATAGATTGAGCTGAAATGAACCCATACTAAGGTGTTTGAGTTTTAAGAAACTTCATCTTACTAGCTAATATAATTGATTAATTCAATATTTCAGAAATATTCTATTATTATAGAAAAGCAAAGATCTTGAAATTAGAAGTCTAACATAACTTCTGGACATGCTTGTTATTAGATTTTTCTGACTATCCCTCCCACCCCACCCCACCCAAAAAAACCTGAATGACTATGTGTCTCATATGGGAAGTGTAATATCTACATCACATTTTCTGTTTCACCAGAAAGGACATAAAAAAAGAAACCTATAAATTTTAATGTTCTAGGAACATGAGATAGTCCCATGTGTTTCTAAAGTTTACACAACAAACCTTTAAAATACAGGTGTGAGGCAATCTACTTAGAATAAATTTTATAAGAAACCTTGTAATTAACGTAGGCCTCATATGTTACTGTGACTTGTCTTATCCTTTCACATTGTCACTCTGTCAGCTAAGGACAGGGCAAAGGGCAGTGGTTAGAGTATCAATGTAGATGTCTCTATGATATTTTAAGGAACCCCCTTCCCTTCAGTTGCCAGCAAAGTAACTGCACTTCAGTGCTGCTCTTGAGTTAGTAGTTATTAACAACTTAAAATTACTTCATAAGGTGTATTCCTTTGTGGGAACACATCCCATTCTTGGGAGTTATTTTTCACTTTTCTGTAAATCTGTGTTCCTTGGGTTTAAAATAAATAAATAAAATCATTTAGTAGGTAATTGACATTTAATTGATTTATTTGTTGTTACTTTGTTCTGTTTTGTTTTTTTCTGCTCAATACAGCACTAAAATGAATTCAATACTTAACATACTTCTTGAAATTTTAGAATGAAATCTCAGAAATTGCTCTGGATCAAAAAGGACTTACCAATGACAGAAAAATTGCTTTCATTGATAAAAATAGAGACCTCTACATCACCTCAGTGAAACGATTTGGGAAAGAAGAGCAGATTATTAAACTTGGTAAAGTAATTTCCAATCACTTAAAATTTTAATTATCGTCAATTTTCTTAGACTGTCTATCATGTACTAGCTACCTTAATGTTTGAATGAATGTATGAATTTTAGTCTGCATTTTTTCACTACTTAGTAACTCAGTAGCAAATTTTAGTTCTGTGACTAAATCAGCACTGAAACACCTGTCAATTAAAAACAATGGTTTTAGGTAAAACATTAAAGTATTTTTATTTTTCTGAGTTTTTGCATCTGTTATACAGGCAAAAAGTGGATATATACCCAATACATTAATCAGGATATTGCTTGTCAGCTATTTTAAAAATAGATTCTAATATCTATTGACACTAATGGACCATGACTATTCGTTTTCAATTAAGGAACCATGGTGCATACATTGGCATGGTGTGATTCATGCAATATCCTTTGTGGACTTCAAGATACCCGATTCACAGTGTGGTATTACCCCAATACCATTTATGTGGACAGAGAAATTTTGCCGAAAACATTGTACGAAAGAGATGCAAGGTAATGTTGTGTTGTACAGGATTCTTTCTGTGTTGTAAGTAGAGCTCTAATTGTCATGATTTTTTTCTGGGTGTATTTTTTAAAGTTTAATCAGACTCAACTGAGTAAATTGGCCAGCTAAAGCTGGTTTGTTAAGATTTAAGTGATGGAGTCAAGTTGAAAATAAAACATGAACTACTTATTCACCTTTTATAAACGAGTACAGTTTTCAAGCTTAATCCTGTTTAATGATAGCTCAGTGTGAGTTCTTCAGTGTGATTTAGTGATTTCTACACCACAATCTTAATTTTTCACCAGTATAAAACTTTGTGACCACTACTCAGCATACAGATTTTCATTGATTTTTAAGAATCCCAGGAATGTGTATGTTTCCTCAGTTGAATTTTTGGGTGATGTTAAAGATAGATTAAATGATAGTTCTTGAAAAGCTCTAAAAGAAAACAAAACTTATATGTGTCAGCAAAATTGTTCCTAAATTGTCAAGAGAAAAATTTCTTATTTTTCACAAACTAGCAAGTTAGGTTTCTTAGGTCGCAGCTTACCTTGGTTTTCAAATCTGTTTTGAATTTATTTTTAGTGTTTAAGCTCACAACTGTAATAAAACTAGAAAAGCACCAAAATAAAAGTTTATTTAAAAAAGTATTTATAAATTAGCTAGATATGGTGGTATAAACTTTTAATCCCAGCACTCTGGGGGCAATGACAGGAGGATCTCTGTGAGTTCTACGTCAGTCTGGGCTACAGAGTGAGCTCAGGCCCTGCAGGACTACACAGTAGACTCTGTCTTAGGAAAACAACAGTAAAAAGTATTGCTAATGTCATTGAAAGGTGTCAGCCTCCTTACTTAAAGTTCTTCTATTTTTACTATGAGAAAATAATTTTTGTAATTCACCTTAATTTTTTAAACCATTTTCCCTTTAAATATTTTCAAAGTCAGTAACTAAATTATTTTTCAGAATTTATCTTAAGATTCAAGAAAAGAGATGTTAGTCAGCTTTTTGTTGCTATAAGAGTACTTGAGACAGACAGCTTGTAAAAAAGCAAATGGAAATTTTGGGCAAGGCTTCTGAGGTTCTAGTCCATGATCAAATGGCCCCATTGCTTTTAGGCCTGTATACATATAGTGTATATGGCAGGAGTGAGTAGTGGAGCAAAACTGCTCCCTCAAGGCTGGGAAGGGGATGAGTGACAGGACCTGGGTCCCTGGGATAGCCTCACAGGCAGTGTCCTGCTCCCTGAGCAGATCTCACTGGGCTCTACCTCTAACAGACTCCTCAGGGAAATAAACTTTTCCCACAGGGATCCAAACAGTCACAAAAGCTAACTGCAGGTGCTATTAGGGAAGTAATCAAATATGGAGTAACTTTTGCCACTTTAAATTGTTGGTATATTTTGCTTCAAGTTTCTATCTATCATCTACATGTTACATTAAAACATTGATTTGAAAATATATTCTGTTTGGAGTTAAATGGGGGGTGAATTTGAAGATTGTCTATGTTAGAGTTATTTCCCAAATTTCATACATACAAAAATTATGCATAATATAGCTTTAAGTTTTCCTTTGTTTGTTTTCAACAGTGAATACAGTAAAAACCCCCACATAGTGAGTTTTGTTGGAAATCAGGTGACTATAAGAAGAGCTGATGGCTCCCTGGTACACGTCAGCATATCCCCATACCCTGCCATCCTCCATGAGTATGTGAGCAGCTCAAAATGGGAAGATGCTGTAAGGCTCTGCCGATTTGTTAAGGTACTGTGCATGCTGTGTATATGGTAGTACATATACGTAAGAGACCCCACAAATTCTACCAGGGAACTCCTGCAGCTGACAAACACCTTCAGTGAAGTGGCTGGATACAAGATTAACTCAAAAAAATCAGTAGCCCTCCTATATACAGACGATAAAAGAGCAAAGAAAGAAATCAAAGAAACATCACCCTTTACAATAACCACAAATAGCATAAAATACTGCATGTGGAAATGGCATTCTGGCTTTATGATTTAGGTTCTTTCTTTCTTTCTTTCTTTCTTTCTTTCTTTCTTCCCTCCCTCCTTTCTTTCTTTCTTTTTCTTTCTTTTTTTGTTAAGAAGTAGGTACTGGAACATGCCTAAATTTTTTTAAAAAAAGACCCAAAAAAAAAAAAAAAAAAAAAAAAAAAAAATTTTTTTTTTTTTGGAAAGGGTCTTAGCCCCATCTGGCCGTGAACTTGCTGTGTAGGCTAGACTGGCCTTGAACTCACAGAGATCTGCTTGCCACTGCCTCCCAAGTGCTGAGATTAAAAGTGTGCTACCATGCCTGGATTCTATATAACTTCTTTCTTATTAGTTTTTTTCAATGCCATGTTTCATAATTTTTATTGGTAAATTAATAACTCAATTGTATCACCATTAGAATTCAAACTACTGCTTATAGGTAGTTTGGCTACCTACTAAACACACCTACTCTCATATTTCACTTTAGGAGCAAAGCATGTGGGCTTGCCTAGCAGCTATGGCAGTTGCTAATCGAGATATGATTACTGCCGAAATAGCTTATGCTGCAATTGGTGAAGTAAGTAAATCATGTTTGTGTATATGCACATGAGTTTTTCTTAACATAATTTTATTATACTTATATTATTACTGACTTTTGATATGTTTCTCTTCCTTTTTTTAGATTGATAAAGTTCGATACATCAATGCTATAAAAGATCTTCCATCTAAAGAGTCAAAAATGGCCCACATATTAATGTTTAGTGGGAACATACAAGAGGCTGAGACAGTACTTCTCCAGGGTGGCCTCATTTATCAAGCAATCCAGATCAACATTAATCTCTATAACTGGGAAAGGTAATAACCCTTCCACAGTTCCAAGACCCTTTTGACATTGTGTGTTCTCTCTGCAACTTAGATAATTATAGTTTCTGGCATATTTAATAGTTTTCTAATGCTACAAGAGAATTTGTTCATTTTATATTTGTGAGTATTCTATCTGGTGGATCTTAATATTTTCAAGCCTAGAAAATGTCATTTGTGGAAATTAATGCTTTGTCTGAACTTTTAATTGATAGAAGTTGGGGTCTGAAGAAGAGTCGTAAGATGCCTCCCAAATTTATAATATTAGTACTAGAAAAACGGTGATGGAGGATTTCTTATTGGTTTGTCTTATTGGTTGATAAATAAAACACTGATTGGCCAGGCAAGATGATAGGTAGGACTAGGAGACAAGGAGGATTCTGGGAAGTGTAGGCAGAGAGGAATTGTCGTGTGATTTGGTTAGCTCAGTCGATAGATCATGGGACTCTTAATACCAGGATCGTGGGTTTGTGCTCCACGTTAGGCACCAGATATAGGTGTGGAAATCAGGATGCTTGACAAGTAAGATGAAGTAGAGTTTATTTGGAGAAAGTAACTTACACAGGAAACAAGTGACTGTTGTGCACTCCTGCTCCAAGGATGCAGACCCTGCCACTCGGATGCTCTCTGCAATCTGAAGAAGGGGCTTTTCCAGCCCTAATTCAGTCCTTTCAACCAGTTTTGTCTGCACCTGTGACCACACCCATTTGGTGTGGTCATCGCTACAGGTGTGGGGGTGAGTATCTGTTTTACTATGAAGCAGTACTATGAATAGATTTGGGAGAGAAGATAGTGTACCCCATGTTAGCTAAGTTGAACTTGAAAGACATATTACGAGCTAGGTAGTTATAATCAATTGAGGGCTTGAAGTTGTAAGATTGGAAGTAGACCTGTAGACTGAGAACAAGAACAGATAGAATTGACTGGAGATGCATAGAGTGATGATCTCTACTATACTTGTGGGTAGATGAAAGAGAAACCTGACAGATGATCCCAGAAATCAGAGAAGGAGAACCAAGGGCTAGAGGGGTTGGTGTGCTGAGAGGAACAGAGAAAGGTTTATGGTAAGGAGTGCTCAGAAGCAGCCTTCACCCCTGCTGAGGAAGTGCCAGCTGCTCTTTGCCACATACTAGGTGCCTCCTATCACTCCCTTAGATATGTGTCTCACAGTGAACAAAATTGTGTTACTCTGTGACCCAGAAATTACTTTATTATGAAACATACTTTTACATGTCCAAAATGTCTTTTATGGACTTGTTTTTCTCTGGACTCAAAAAATAACCCACATGTCCCTTTCCTTTTATTGAAAATAGATTCTTTTATCCCATAATATATCCTGATTAATAGTTTCCCCTCCCCTACTCCTCCTGGTTCCTCCCCACCTCCCCTCTTATCTGGAGCCACTCCCTTACTGTCTCTCATTAGAAAAGTACAGGCTTCTATGAGATAGTATTACAATATAACAAAGTAAAATATAATAAAATAAAACAAAGACTAACACATTAGAATTGAACAAATATAAATGGAGCCTGAGAAAGCACAAGAAACAGAGACCCACACATTCTCACACTCAGGAATTCCATAAAACACTAAACTGGAAGCCATAATATATACACAGAGGACCTGGTGTAGACCCATGCAGGCCCTGTGCATGCTGCTTCAGACTCTGTGAGTTCATGTGAGCTTTGCTGATGTTTATTTAGAGGGCCTTGTTCTCTTGATGTCCTCCATCTCCTCTGGCTCTTACACTCTTTCTGTCTTCTCGTCCATGGGATTCTGTGAGCTCTGTGAAGGGATTTGATTGAGACATCCCATTTAGAACTGAATGTTCCAAGGCTTCTCACTTTCTGCATAAGGTATGGCTGTGGATCTCTGTATTTGTTTCCATCTGCTGCAGGAGGAAGCCTCTCTGAGGATGGCTGAACAAGGCACTGATCTAAGTATAGCAGAGTATCATTAGGAGTCATGTTATCACTATGTTTTTCTTTTCTTTTTTAGACCAGTAATACTTGGTTTTATCCTAGGTGCCTGGGCTATTTAACCTCTGGTTCTTGGTCACCCAAGCAGTGTTGGGTATAGGCTCCATTTCGTGGAGTGGGCTTTAAGTAAAATCAGTTATTGGTTGGTTACTACCACAAGCTTTGTCTTACAGGCAGGATACCATTGTAGATCAAATAATAACCCACATATTTTTCAACTACTAGGATTCATAACTCTCTCAGACTATAAACTCTGTTGCTATTCCATCTTCACATTTCCCTCAAATAGAAGCAACAAAATGTATTTTGTTAATTTTTTGATTAATATACCATAATCTGTTTATACTCTCATGCTATAACCATATATATAATTCAGCTGCTGTACCTTTGTACTTTATTTACATGAGTTTGTTACTATCGTATAGTGTATTGAAGATCAGGAAAGATGTTGATTCTAGAAGAATGAGTAACCCATTTAAATTGTAGAGTAATTAGTTTGGAAAAAGATAGGATATGAGTAATATTATTGAACTGTATTAAATAACTTAATAGAACATTAGAATTCTGTAAAAATATGGAAAGCTGGTATTTAAAATATTCTTTCAACTTATTTTTTTGGTAGGGGAACAGTTGATATGTTTTTGCTATTTAGCCTATTCTTGCCTCAAGCTCACAGTGACCCTCCAAGAAGCAACCTCTGGGGAGAAAGTGGTGTGTGTGTGTGTGTGTCTGTGTGTTTAGATAAAGGAGTTTATTTGGATTATATTTCCAAGTTACAGTTCATCATTTTGGAGAAGTGAAGGGAGAAACTTACGATCTGTTATTTCATCCATAGTCCAGAGCAAAGTGAAAAAAGACACCTTGCTTACTTGCTTGCTACTGTTCATGCTCAGCCAGCTTTCTTCACCTTTCTACAGTTCAGGCCCAGCCCATAAAACGGTGCTGTACACATCCAGGATCAGTCTTTCTACCTCAGCTAACAATTAAGAAAATACCTGACACACATGCCCACAGCCAACCTAATACATAGACTATTCCTCAATTAAAACTCTTCCAGGGTGATTCTAGACTGTCTCAAGTTGACAGCTAAATAAAGCACAGTGATCTTTTCAAAAAGATTTATTTTTACTTCACACATATTTCTAATTTTTCTTGGGACTGGGCAGGTGGTCATTCTCATAAACAAAGTCTTCTGTAGTTGAGATGGACTATCCAATGATGGTTTAAAAGTGCTTAGTATTGTGTATATAAAAGGCAAGGCTATTAGGGCATAAATGTACTCATTTACTTTTAGCAGCAGAAAAAGTCCATACTTTTGTGGAGCATTGTGCAGGTCCAAACTCTACTTTGTGGTGGATTATTTGTTTTGTGGGGAGTATGTGGTAATGGTTTATCTGTACAAAAATCTTTTTTTAAAGATTCATTTATTTATGTGTATGAGTGTTATATCTGCATGTACACATTTATTCCAGAAGAGGGCATCAGATCCCATTTTAGATGATTGTTCACCACCATGTGGTTGCTGGGAATTGAACTCAGGACCTCTGGAAGAGTATCCAGTGCTCTTAACTCCTGAGCCCTTTTTCCAGCCTATGTACAAAAATCTTGGTTGTTTCATTCAAATTGCCTTTGTCAAGGTCATAAAGCCCTATAGGGAGTGGGATTTACAGGTGTGAAGTTCAAGGGTGCTCCTAGACTTTGAACTAAAATGTTTAATATAGTATGAGGCCATGGGTTAATACTACAGAGGGAGTAGAGGACAGTCAGCTCTACTGAATGCCCACATTTTAGGGTTGGCTTAAAAAGAGGATTCAATTGGGACTAGGAGGACAACTCACTTAGGAAAGTGCTTGCCACTCACATGTGTAAGGACCTGAGTCTGGATTCCAACCACCCACATAAAAAGCTGGGTACAGCAGCATGTCAGTAATCACAGTGCTGGGGAGGTAGAGAGGAAGGGTCCCTGGGGTTTGCTGGTGAGCCAGTTTAGCTGAATTGGTAAGCTCCATGTTCAGTGGGAAACCCTATGTTAAAAAAGTAGGGTAGAGTGACAGATGAGTGCTCAGACCTAAGAAGATATTTATAACATTCCCTCCAAGGCGTCATCTCAGGAGAGGGAGCAGAAAATGTAAGAACCAGAAGAGAGGAGAACTGCTTCTAAAGGCTGTCTTCTGGGCATGGCAGTCACCGTAAACTTGAACTCACAGTAGCTCTGGTTATCTGCTCAAAATTAGCCCTGTCAGCAATCAGTTATGGCTAGGGAGGGGTTCCTGTGGCCATACCTCTACTTGCTCTAATAAGGTTACTGAAACATTCTGGGATATGGGGAGCCATTGAATAATTCTCTACCCATGGTAACACAGAGGACCCTGGTTAAACTTAGTGGGTTGATAAACACACACACAAAGATATAAATGTGGGAAAGAGATTTGTAGGAGGGATGACAGGGATGGGAAGGAGAAGAGAGTGGAAGATGAGAATAATAAGAATGCATTTTTATACATGTTTGAAAATGTCAAAGAACAAAATTAATTCATTTAAAAAAGTGGAGAGCAATTGAGGATTACATCCAGTATCACCTTCTGACCTATACACACACACACACACACACACACACACACACACACACACACACACACACGACTATGCTTGGGACTAGCTCTTTATTTGTAGAATGCTTGCCTAGTATATGCAAGGGAGAAAAAGAGTTTCAGCAAAATACATCAGGAGGAACCAAAAAGATGAAATTGAAAAAATGCTTGTTATGGGAAAGCACATAAAAAATATTGTGATGAACACCATCAGTAAGCTTCAACACTGATCAGTTTTTGTAGTTTCCCTACCCTCCCTTCTCTTATCACTTATTTTAAGAGAAACTACAATTATCACATTTTATCTGTATTTAAACATTTCTAAAAGATTTTAGTAGCCATAATACTATGATCATACTTAAAAATGACCAGCAATAATATATAGTGTTCTTATTTCTTTGTTATCTAATAAGTGTTTTATGGTTTGCATGGAGACCCAAAAAAGACCCATATGTTGTGAGTAGTTGGTATGTTCTTAGATAGGTTCTGTTTCTTTTTGTGTTTGCTTATAATTTCCCCATTGAAGAAACTGGACCTTTAGAATTTCCTATCATCTCGATATTGTTGATTACATCTTTTTGGTGACTTTCTCCTGATTTAGCTACAAATTGGTCATGAATCTAGACCCTTATAGGTTTAATTGGGGGATGGAGGAGGGAGACTAAATACTGTAGCTGGTGATATGTGTATTTCTATAATGTCTGGATCATATGTGGTTTTTGAATATTAGCAAGTGTTGTTCATTACTAGATCTCTTAATTTTTGAATGATAGAAGAAAGTGTTGGATGACACATTAGATTACTTTTGAGGTCCCTGAATTCTACCTCTGTTGAGAACATGTAGAAGGGGCTGGGCTTTAATTCATTCATGTGTTACTCTGCTTGAGAAACATGCTCTTACTGGTTGTGCATCTGTATTTTGTATCAGAATTTGGAGATTGCCTGCACCCTAGTAGAATGAAGAGCCTAAAGACTTGTGGGTAGGCAGTTTAGCTGTTTGGTGTGTACTTTGGACATTGAGTGTTAATGTTCACTGAGAAGCTGAAGTTAGGAGAGGAAGAAATGAAAGCTTCAGGTAACCACATTGATCCTGTGTATAAGTGTTAATAAAATAATTTCTAATTGTCTAACAGTTATATAAAGTGCTTTTGATTCATTCAAGTTATGCAAAAGATCATATTTAGAAGTTATCATATCTTTTTATATAACTTCTTCCTATTTAAAATACATGGACTTATTCCAGCCCTAGAATCTAATGTCACATTTGTTTGGTTGCCAAACCATTTTAAAACTAGAGACACACTGTTCCCAAAGCCCTTATATAATTTGAAGTAAGTTCCCTCCTAAATGTGGTAGAGAAACATTTTTTACCCAGTGTGTATGCATTTAGAGAATACTTAAAATAGCATGTATGTAAATGTTTACTTTTAGCCATTACTCTTCAAATAATTAATGCATGTTTTATTATTATAATAATGACAGTAGTATAGAGAATACTGAGGACCTAACCTCTGAATACAAGATTAGGCATCACATTGTCTTTTCTGTATAACTAGATGTATTGATGCTTGCATACCAAATTACTTCCTTAGAATTTTTGAAAAGCCCCAGTGCAGAATGGCTGCCTATGTATGCCTGCTTTCACTTTTGCAGGCAAGATGTCCCAGCCGATCACCTGCTGTAAGGGGCCAGTAGTGTGATTCACCAGAGTCTTCACTGACACACAGCCCACCAGGATGAGAGGCTTGGGTAGATAAAGGGCTGGAAGGAATAGGGCATCTTGACTACCACTGCTCATCTTAGAGCTTCTGTTACTTCATTGTTGCCTTTAATTTTCATTCAATCCCCATATGCTTGGTTCATTGTTCTCTGAAAGACTTAAAGTTGCAAAAAAAAAAAAAAAAAAATGAGAGAACTGTGGGAGTCCATGTCAGTCAATGTCCTATTGCTGTCAAGAGATACCATAACCACAGCAACTCCTATAAAAGAAAGCATGTAATTGGGTCTTGCTTACAATTCAAAAGGTTCATTTCATCATGGTGGGGAATATGGTGCAGGAGACATGGTGCAGGAAAAATAGCTGAAAGTTCATCCAGATCCACAGGCAGTACAAGAGCGAGCCACTGGGTTTGGGTTGGACTCGTGAAATCTCAAAGCCCATCTGCAGTGACACACTTCCTCCAACAAGACCTTACCTACTTCAACAAGACCACACCTCCTGATTCTTTCAATAGTGCCAGTCTCTGGTGATCAAGCATTCAAATCTGTGAGCCTATGAGGGCCATTCTCATTCAAACCACCACAGTAATATATAGCATATGTTGACGTGTTAATCTGTTTTATAAGAAATCATGTTTCATTATTTTGGCATTCCCATTTGTGATATTACTGAGTTACATTCATATTTTCTTATTGTCTTTGAGAACTTCCTAAATTGCCTATCAACTGTTAAAACACACAGTATCATTCAAAATGTTTTAAAATTGTAAAACTTCAGTGTGTGTGTGTGTGTGTGTGAGAGAGAGAGAGAGAGAGAGAGAC